TTTTTTTTTTTTTTTTTTTTTTTTTTTTTTTTTTTTTTTTTTTTTTTTTTTTTTTTTTTTTTTTTTCAAGATAAAACAATAGTTTTGGATTGATTCTTTGTTGGTTGTGTTTTACTTGTGGACTAAAATAAAACTATAATGACACTAAGTCACTTATGATTTTTCATCAACAAATAGGCATGATTTGTTTAAGTATCAATTCTATATTCATCTTTAAGACAGCTATGTCATTCAAAACATTATCAACCACTTCGTACTTAGTGTGAAGATAAACTTTGTCCACACGTATTCTGTGATCAAAATTTTGAACGTCTGCTGTCCCTGCGACGACAAAGTATGGTTCGTCTACATAAACATAAGAATTTTTTATTTTTTCATCCAAAAAACAGTGAGCTGCAGTCAAAACCATATCATCTTCAATGAGTGTGCCACTACAAAGGTGATCTTCGTCATCTTGTACGGAAACCACGTAATTGTTATTTTCTATTCTCGCTCTCACACCCCCAATAATATTTTCCGATTCTAAACCAGCAACTGTAAAAAAAAATATAAATATTTATCATTACCTCTTATCACAAACTGTTTCCAACTTAATATTAGTTATATACGTAACGAGTGCGCAAATCGGAAAATGAGTGCAGTCGTGCAAAAAACGTGTATCTTATATAACATAAACGATAAAATTATCATTTGGTAGTTCAAATTACAGTACAGTAAAGAAAGTTGTTGTGGGCCTTCAGAAAATATAACTTTTGTTTAATTTTTCTGTTGATAAATAATTGTTTCAGTGATATTTAATATTTTAATCTAAACTAAAAATACAAGGTTTATGTATGATTAAAACGTAAAAAAGGTCTAACATACCGTTTCCAATTAGAAAGACGCAAAAAGTTGCTGAAACGAATAATAGATATCCCCGCGCCATTTTTGATACTTTCTCTACTGTTCTTGAACTAAAAAATTGTCTAGAAAACGTCAGTTTTATGCGTGAAAAGTAGACGTTTTCTTGATATAATTTTGACGGATGTACTCTTCATCCAATAAAACATCATTTGGTATTGAAAAGAATTCGGAATACAGCCATGACAAACAATTATTACAGCGATGACTGTTTAAACAATTAAATTTAATGTCAAGTGCAGTAATTGAACAGGGAAAACAGGTGGTAAGAATTTTTAATCATGTTAGGGTTAATCCCACTTGTTGGAAGAAACCAAGTAAGATACTCGTAGAAAAGAAAATTTTTTAAATTACTGTGCTGAAAAGTTGAAATGGTAATAATACATGATAAATCCTGTGTAGAGCTTTTTACTATTTGTACATTTTTGTGTACTTCTTGTCAAATAATTTTCATTGAAAAATAATTTTTTACCACAATTACGGTGCATTGATGTTTTCACCGACAAAAGTTCCTTACGTATACTTATACGTCATAGATACTTATATTTGCTTAGTGAAAAACAACGTAGATAAAATTTTGACGGAATACGATGATGTCTCTGTAGCTGAGTCATTTTTGTATTGACTTTTCTGAAAATTCATTGCTCTTCTTGCAGTATGAATATTTTATCTTATCTTTTACATGAGTACTTCGCGCTTACGTGGTGAATGTTATTTTTACTTCTGAGGGCGCTGTAAATGTTCGAATGTTACGAAAAACGAAAAAAAATGAAAAAAAATTTATTGTCAGCCTGTTCTTATCAATAAATAATTGCCTGTTACTTGATGTTCTTAAAATTTCGAAGAAAGTCCACTTGTAATCTGAGTCTCGACTACTCATATTTTTGTCAGAAAATAAATCACAATGACAACATGCATCGTGATGGCGCTAATTTTGAAACGTACTAAACAAAAATGTATGACATTTTCGCCAGAACAAAATATGTAATATCGTATTTGATCAGTAGTACAAATTCCTTGTATTCCCTATATATATATGAAATACGATTGATACGTTATGCAGGAACTGAAAATGAAAAGTATGGGAATTAAAGTAACAACAATTTTTTTTTTATATCAATTTTTAATACAAACTTTCAACATTGTTTCGCCTCCTCATCTTATTTCTACACATAGACAATATGTGCATGTAATACAATGTTAATAATTCAGAAATAACAATCGCAAAACGGTTAGTTTTGTTCATTAATAAGACGTATGAATCGATATTATTAGTATAACTTCTTATGTTACGATGTACATACATACATACATAGTAAATTGTACCATAGTAAAAGTGAAACAAAATAATGTATAAATTTAAGTTTTTTTTCTTTCTCGATGCACAAAAATATATATATAAATATGTATTTGTATACGTAAACATACATAAATAATAAAAGTCTCATAATAATTAACTGCCTTTAAAAAATACGTTTCAGCTTTTTTTTTAGCAAACTTGAGATAAATCTATTATTCGTATAAATGAACTTACTTCTTTTTGTTTAATCTAAAATAAATATTGATTTTTAGTCTTTTCGGTGTATCATCATTGTTTGCTCTCTCTTCTGTATACCCAACTAAATTTGGAAGACATTCACAACGATAAAAAATACATAAATCTCTGTAGCCATCCGACAAATTGACGAAGAACCGATCGAACATCATTTTTTCTTTTTTCTAACACTTGCTACTACGATACCTATCTACTTACACGTGTTCTCGATTCACCCCGACTCGTCGGTCCAGCAGACATTTTTTATTATTTCATTTTTTTTTCTTTTTAAGAATCCTAGCCCTTGGCTAAACATTAAGTACGAAATAAAGAAAGAAAAGTTAAAATCTGCTCTTCGTTAACTAATCGTCACTACGCGTTTCTCTAAGTAATCATCATTATTACTATTATTATTTACATATTGTATATTAAATAATTTATAACAGACGAAAATTCGATTAATCGGAGCACTCCCTTCTCTCTGTTTTTGTAAAAAACCATATATCCCTCCCTGACTACCTTCCCACCTTATCCTTGGAATCCTCCTCCCTTCCCAGGACCAAATACACGATTTGTCGTAAAACGCGCAACACACGTCCGAATAAGAAATATTATTCGGTTCCTCCATCAACACGCTTATCTGAGTCCGCCGTAGCCGATCGGCGGCGCTGGTGTGGTATGGCTGTTTGTCGATCTCTGCTCCATCGTTATGTACTGGCGGATCAGGCGGGATATCTCGTGAGCTTGCTCTGTTTGTAACCTTGTGATGCGCTGCTGCATGAGATTGCCGCACTTCATGTCTAGGTAAAGCGTGCCCTCCTCCGACTTAACTTTGCGGGTCGATATCACTTCCGAGTAGGGGTAGTGGTAAAGCGTTTCCTAATGACACGATAGAAAGTGAGTTGAAAAAATTTTAGGTATCTGTTTTCCCGTGAGATTTGTTGAGATCGTTTGTATACTCACGTGTGTTATCAGATCGATAAAGTGGACGCCATGTCTGTTTAAAGCTAAGATGTGGTCGCTGCTCTTCTCTTTGCCCTCTGGCACTCTCTTCACTGCGAAGAAGCTCGAGCCGAACAGTGGCCACTTGGAAAGTATTTCTGTAATTACATGAAGGAAAAAAATGAGAACAAGCATTAAATTATATCGCCTTGAAGAAACAAGCGAGGTGGAAAGCAACGATCATAAAGATGGACTTTTCATTTCATAATTAATTGTTTATAGCTTACCAAGTACTTGAGCCTTGCAGCTAGCAATCGAGTTGTGCTGAACATTCGCCCAAGCCTGCTGCACCATATTGGCCCACTGCTGTGGCCTAGGTTCTCTAAGACTCAGCGCTGGCTTTGGCAACAGGTACTTTATGCGTTTGGTCGTTGGCTCTTCTCGTTCGTTCTTCACGTCTGCTGCTCTGTGCAATAGAGCTGCGATCTGGGCCATGTCGTACTACATTGAAAACAAAGACGTACACATATAGATTCATTCGTTTTTCTAAACCAATGTTTATCAAGATATGTTCTATGATCGACTCACAATGACTTCCTGAGGTAGATGCTCCCCAGGTAAGACCAGTAGTAGACCCTCCAAGTAGTCCGGTGCAATCTGATTGAAGACTACCTCGACGTAGAGTGCCGCGTCCAATCTCAGTGGGTAATACCAAACCGACCTGTGTAACAAATCGATGAGCAATCGATTCTCGAGTACGAGTTATTCATCTCTCGAAACCACATTGTACTTACCTGCAGAAGATCAAGTAAAACAGCTGGTGGTTCTTGTGTAGTTCCGTGGTGACGTCTAATACGTACTCATCCCTAGCTAGAGGCATAGTAAAGGCATCTCCGTCCACAATACAGTAAAGCGAGAACTCGTCCATCTCGTGAGGATTTCTGACCGATATGATGTTGCACATCTCCTCAATGACGTCCTGGACGACAGTCGTGCACTTTGTATTGATGACGCGCTCGGTACCACCTGGCAATCGGTAGATCTGCCTCTTGGCATTCCTGCCGGCGCTGATGGCCATGATCTCTTCAACGCTTGGCACGTTCTTCCGGCCACCGTACTTCACCGTCTTTCTGAGGTTCTGCAGGCAAACCGTTGCAGTGCCGTGGTAAGCTCGGCGTTTGTCGTAGGCCGCGGTCTCGAGGTACTTGGTCAGGTAGGGCTTCAGAACGTCGCTGCAAGTGAAGTAGGCCGCGACGATGCTGAACATCCGCCAGCCACGCTGACCACTGTCGGGGTTTGGACTCTTGTTGTTGGTCGTCTGCTTCATCAGCTGGCAGTAGACCTCATCCCTCAGCTGCTCGAACTTGTGGCAGTGCTAAAGTGAACAATTCAACGTTTTAGTTCATGAAAGGGAACATAGTTGCAACTATATAGCCGTAAACTTACCATCAGAATGGTATAGACGCACTTGACCTCGTTCATATCTGGTGGTAATGGCTGGTCGCCCATGTAGCGCATGAGACAGAGGAAGCACTCCACCGCGAGGGTGCTGAGTTCATTGTCGAGGCGCAGCAGACTCTGCTCTATCGGCACCGTCGAGAACTTGACCAGGTCAACCTGCTCCTTCCACGTCCACTCAGCTCCATCCTGGCTTTTGCCCTTCTTCCCCTTCTTCTTGCCCTTGAGCGACTCGATCACTTTGAGGGACCCGCTTATTGAGCCATCCGCAGTTTTCAGCGCCTCGAATCTGAAAAGTTGAATTGGCCACTGGCTATTAAAGACATTTGTGTTTTTCTAAATGAATCTGTTTTTACTGATAATTCATGCGCGAGTCTATAATTTATGATTGGCTTTTGCTGTACATTCCATTAACCTAGAGAATGCGTAACTGTCCGCTATGTCCACTGTTTGGAAAACAAGTTTTAGCATTTTTAACGGAACTCCCGTCTCATTTGAAATTATAATTCCAAGTAACACATCGTAGTGGGTATCATATGTTTAATTAAGCAAACTTGTTCCGTAAAAACTATAACGCGTTGATTTTTCCTGACTTGGAAGCTTCCGGATGAGTACAAGGCACGTGCTCAACACCGTGCTATTGCACTATTTCTTTGTAGGTCATACGAAAACTCGTTGGAAGCTCATATTTTTAACTGTACATTAGCTGTTGGCGCATATCGCGCTAACCTACAGAAACGTGCGTCCTAACGCGCGCTGTCGTTTAATTTTATAGATTTTCGGTTAACCGTTACTCTCGAACCCTCCGGTGGAATGACACTCGCGTCAAATTAATATGCACAAAGAGCCTGCTTTCGCGTGCGCGTCACAGTCATCGTCGAGCTACCGCGTGGATGCGCATCCGTAGGGGCTCTCGGACGAAACTAATGATACAGAGGAACAACCTCAAATCGGCACAAAGTGAATAACAGTCAGCCGTGTAGGAAAGAGCACAGGATCGCGCTGCTGTACGAATGTAACTTGTGGCTTGAGCAAATACGAGGGAGATGTTTCAAGATAGACAGTTCTGTGTTGATACACACGATTTTTCTGTTGTAACTGCTCGGCTTTTAATAAAAGAGTTTCATTTGTTAGATCAACTGAGTCCTTAGACATATCTACTGTATGATAAAAACTCTATCGCTTTCTTTTCATTTTCAAGGAGTTATTAATAATTTTTTTACGATTAGAGATTAAAGTTTTAATCCCATATGGAAGTGCGTTGGTGCCCTTCCTGGAGCTTTCAAAAAAAGCAAAGATCACGGTCGTTGAACCAACGCTGGCTTTCCTTTGCTGTGTTTGGAAAAGCGTAATAACGGATGTTTTTCTTTCGGATATATGCACGGCAGCTTAATTATACGTCGAAAAATTATGATGATACGTTGTTGCATTACCTTGATTGCGTTTAAATCATTGAAAATGTTCAGCTGGCTACTAACAAGTATAGCCTCTGTGCTCATGAATTATGGAAATAGCGGTAAAACAGAAAGATGCTCAACACCTTTTGTTAACTCCTATTTTTTTCATTCAGGCAGACTTTGAGCGGCAAAAAAACTTCCGGAATCGCCACGCGAATCGAGTAGCTGAACGATCGTTTAACATAATTTATGGCGCAGGCCAACGAACTTGGCGCTTCAAGAATACTCTTGCATCATTCTGTTATCTGTAAAAGTCTCTAAGGACTATAAATATCTCTCACAAGAGAATTGAAAACAAAACAGCTTTTAACATAAGACATTGATGGTTTCGCGTGAAAAATGGGCAAAAGTTAACGTTTGAATAAACCCTGGGCCAAAAAGCGACGTCATTGCTCGACGGTAGTACAATGTGTGTCATTTCACGATGATTCATCTCATCCATGCTTGCATCACGTCCCTTTTTTATTCCACAATACGACAACTTTCACCAGTATTGTCGTGCGAGTGAGTTAACCTTTCAATGACTGGGTCTCAAAAATTCATGAGGATATGTTACGAAAAACATACAAACATTAACTTTTCAAATGGTCGATATGTCGTACTAGATTGTAGTTTATGTCATTAATATGGTTCTACAGTGATTTCTACGAAATATTTTGACACTATCCTTTATTAGAAAGAAAGAAAAACTGCTGAATAATTTTTGTGTTTCACCTATAATCTACAATAAATAGAGTTATCCTTTGTAGGTGAGACATCTTACAACTCTTTTTCCCTTTCTAACTCAAAAGTAATCTAGGCTAACTCTCCAAGCTTGTTTTTAGTCTATTTATTTGTGAGTGGTGCACTTTAAACGACTTTTTTCCTTAAACAGTTTGAGCTGTTTCTAAACACTATATCAAACCACGACTTTCAATAAATCCTATATTTTCCTATAAAGTCTTAAAAAATTCAAGATTAACTTTCTAGGCTTAATAATAACCATATGTTTCATTCATTTCAATTCGTCACGTGTGTTAAATTTTATTTGAATATCGTTTAGCTGTTGAAATCAGTATTATTTCCAATACGTAATTTATTTTTTCTACAAACGTTACTTGGACAAAACTACCACAACGATTGATTTATATCAGTAAGGAATTATTCTGTGATAATAAAATTGCTAAACTTTGTCTACTGTCCTATAAACTTAGTTTTTAATTCTTCTCATTTTTTTATTGCCCAGCAAATAAACATTCATCAAAACTAAAGTTCTAAAAAACACAAAATGTACGTAAAAAAAAACAGATACTAACTTGTCGGCGCTGTGTCGGAAGTTTAGTATGGCATACTGCAGCAGGGAGTGCTTGCCGTCGTTGACGACGGGCCTGCCGCCGTTCTCGCCGTATATGCCCGTATCCTCGGGACGCAAGCCGGTCTCCTCTTGCTGTCGCCATTCCTGCTGGCTGGCCGTCGTATGGAGCTGCTGATGGGACGAGCTCAGGGGCGACTTGCCGTTTTTCTGGTAGTGAATGCCATTGTGGCTCGGGGATGCGTGGCCGTTACGGCCGTTGATGCCATTTGGTAGGTTGCCGGTGTCGTTGTGCTGCTGGGAATTGCCGTGGGTTGGCGAACTCGAGCCGTATGGGTGACCGACGTGCTGGTGGGAATGGTGGTTCGTCTGAGGGACGATTGATTTGCCGATGTGGTTGCTCTTGTGCGCGGGCTTCTGGTCGATCTGTAAACGATGATGATAACAGGTTACCTCATTTGGTTGGAAAGGTATGGGAGTAACTTGATATTTTTTCATACTTTTACTACTCAATGAATTTTTGATCGTTTTGAAAAATATTATACGTGCGTGCAGTAATGCTTTTGGAGTATGTTACGGTGTATCTTATGGATTATCGGTAATTTTTGTCGATGCATGTACTGCAGTTAGGATGTAACGGCTTCCTAAGCGAAGCAGCGGAATTTCCTTTGCCTCAGCCAACCATATGGCTTTCCTAGATACCTGCTCTCTTCGTCTATCAACTATTTCCACTTTTAAATCATCCAATAAAAATGTTTGTAATTGTGCAACTTTTTTACTTGTTACGATAGTAGACGTTAAATAAATTGTTTACACAGTCGCTATTTTTTTCGTTTTTCCAACGATTTCTCAAACATGAAAAAAAATCCCATAATAACTAGGAAGGAATAAGTTTTTAATTACTGTTGAATTACGTAACTTGCAGATCAAATCTTTTTACATGAAAGTCAAAGTTACATATCTTTTGCATCACATTTTATTTAAAATTCAGTTTTTTAAAAACTCAACAACATATAAACGAGCAGGATTGATTTTAAGTTTGTATTTCCTCGAAATTGTAATGTCATTGTATGTTGTTATTGAAGAACGATGTCAAAAGGTTGGAATCATTTGTGTTATTGTGAAGCTTACACCTTTCAACAAAATTCAGAGATATTTTTTGATAGAATCTTAACAACGTAGTTTTTTTTCGGTAAAAACCCCCTTCATACGCACACACACACATTTGAAGATAAAAATTATACTTGAATCACCCATAAATTAGATTTAATTTTCATAAATATTAATTGAAAATGTATATTTATAGCCCTGTTGATACCATGTACTAAGTTTTTTTAACAAATATTTAAAGTTTTTTATAGTGACTGGAGATTAAGCATAGATATTTAAATCATCCCAGATCTCGATTACCTCACGGCAAGCCAAACACTGTTTTTAGAATTGAAATCCGAAGTGCACACTTTTCCGCGCAATGTATACCGATGTATATCTGCCTGATGATTACCATTGGCGCCGCTACCGATTTCCGCCGCCTCGAGGACATGCATGCGAGTTCCAGAGGATAATAGAGAACTCACTGCGAGAACGAGCTCCAAGCGCTTTCTCGTATTTCGCGCCTCTCTTGCCCCGCGGCTCTTGTTTTCTCTCTCCCGAGGAATGTGCCAAGCCTCCGATGAAAAGTAGATTTTTGACCGTGATTATGGTAATGCCGCGGTGGTTCTACTTTTTCTCTTTTTTTCATCGTGGGATCTTCCACTCAATTATGCCAAAGGCATCCTAAAGATCACAGCAGCGTGGTTTTTGATTCGAGGAGTTTTGAAATTCTCCTTGCCACGTTTTTTTAACTTTCTATCGATGCCAAGTTTGATAAATAATCGTAGGATAAAAGCTTGTCTAGTCCAATTGAAAAAACGTTAAAAGATACAATTGTTAAGTACCTTAGCGCGTGAAATTTAATTCCAAATAACGAGATCCCTTTTCTCAAGAGGTGAAAATTGTCTCACGTGCACCAGCTTATGTGAAATTTGCCAAGCCCGAGGTTTCAAAGACTACCGGCGAGCACCGTGGATATTAAAAAAAAATTTCGTCCCAGGAATGTCAAGCAGAGAGGCTTCGAAAGGCACCTCCTCCCAACAGCCCGTGCTTTTCCCATGATTGCCTCTCGCGCTACTTTCACGCGAAAAAAGCGTTCCCCCCCCCCCCCGAATATTTCTTTATCGCGCCGCGGCCAGTGGTATAATACATCAATCTCTCCCGACCGGGGAGGCACTTTAATTGCCGGTCTTTTGAAAAAGAAGAAAAAAAAGTAAAACAAAGCCGCTTACACGCGCTTGCTCCACAAAACACCAAAAACACGGCACTCGGAATCCGCAACAAAGTCATTGTTACAAGGCTAAGTTACATGGAGAATTGGCCTAAACAACGTCGCGATGCCGCAATTTTCCGCGCGTACACACACGTATGCCACGCATTTTCGCTGCCATCCGCGTAAAATTATCCCGCTGGCCGAGTTCCGGCTTCTTTCCCTCTGTTGTTTTCTTTTTTTCTCCTCTTATTCCTCCACAGCATCCTGCACTCGCACGCATCTCACGTACACGCGTCTTGTACACGCGTGAACGAAAATAAAGGAGAGAAAAAGAAAAAACCAACAACCGAGTGGTAAGAAAAGGACGGCGTGTAGCGGCCTATCGGGAAGATAATTTCGCGGCGTCCTAGATAGCAGCAGTCGGGAGGAAAGAGAGAGAGAGTACGTAAAGTGCTCGGCTGCTGTCTTGTCCTGTGTTCCGTACGTGGGTATGTGTATGCATCATGCACATGATCACGCCACAGCGACGACAACACCGTCGACCCTGACCCACATACTCCGCGATATGAACATCATCGAGGTGCTCGTGCGAGGCATGTACAGTTACTTATGTGTATAAACGCATGAATAAGATAGGGAGTGAGGACTTTTTTTTTTTTTTTTAGTTCCCAACCTGTTGCCGATGATGGGAAGTGCACGTGTCGGGCAACAAGTGGTCGGCGGCGCTGATGAAAATGGCTTTTTTTTTTTGCATTCGTTCTCAGCACTGCTACGGTTCCGGCTTATCATCGACAAAGACGCTCGAGTCGCGTTAGGCAAAATTCTCCGCTAGAAATTCCCGGAGGATGCGCGCGGAACGAATGTAGAAAGCGGCAGATGATGCCGAGCTTTTCGCCGTACGTCTCTTCTTTTTCTCCTCCATTAGCGAATCGTTATCTTTCTCCCCTACGCGCGTGCGTGTATGGTTTTTGATCATTTTTCCATGAGTCGTGAAAGCTCCCAAGTGGAAAGTGGTTACAAAATCGAGATTTGATTTTCCCAGCCTCGTCTAGCGATATCACACGTCGAGCGTTTATTTACGCACTTTGGAGTATTTTCACGCTGAACATTTCACGCTCGTATACACACTACCGTCGAGGGAAAACAGCGTACGTTGGGTTATTAATTTTCTTCTTTTTGCGTTCTGCGCTAGTAGGCACACCTGCATCGTTTTCAACGAAATGAACGAAAAAAAAACAGCCATCGAGGATACGTTAGTTTGAGAAAAAGGTTTCCGTTCCTATGATGAAGTTGGAGTGGAAAAAAAAGAGAGCTCACACATGCTCCGCAGACAAAACCAAAAACCTCACAGTTTTAATCATCCCCAAGTGATACATATCGTTACTCTGCAGATCGAAGAGCGACCCTGGACCCTCGAGACACGTAGGGATATGATACAGGGAGCGGTCGCGGTCGGCGCCAACGAGGACGCCGGCGCGTCAGACTCTGGAAAGAGAGTAGGTGTACACGTGTAAGCGATCTCGTCGGGGATGAGAAGAAGTAGTTGTATGTATACGTATGTACGACGATAATGCGGTGCGTATATATATGCGCGCTTCCCCGGCACCGAGCGCGTAACGGGCGCGTTAATAAGGAACAAAACGTAACTCTATACGTACACGCCTCGCTCGCGGTGCACGCGGTCGTCGACCCCTTTCTCTCCCCCTGTACGAGAGCTCGACGGCCATATGCATGCGAGATGAGCAACAGGTATACATTTGCGCGTCCTCCGTGGCTGTGAGATGCTGCCGCGACGACGACGACGCTTCTGTTACGTTTCTCGCGTAATCGGGGAAATAATCTGTCGTTGACGGAGACGAAGACTTACAAGCGTCGTTGCTCATAAGGAATTGGCGGCTCTTCTTTTTCTTCGTCTTCTCCCTGTGGTCGTGGTGGTACATGTGCGGAAGAGAGATGAGGTATCGGTATGCGCGGCTCGCGGTTTTGATGGATGGTGGAGGCGCGTGCGGCTGTTTTCCTTTTATTTTTCCGAGGTTAATCGCTAGGAGGGATATTGTGATTGATTGATTATTAGTCTGACTCGCCGAACGTGTGGCTTTTGGTCTTGGGATCGAGCCGATCGGCAGCAGGTTGACGCGTAATGGATACCAATTTGGTGTGGTCTCAATGCGTGTAAATTTGCTTTTCCTTTTTTTCTTTTTTCTTTTTATTTTAGCGTTTATCTGTCTCTCGATCTTTCCTGCGAGCTCGCATTATCCATCCCCGTGATGTGTGCGCTTCGCCCTTCCCACCGCCTGTAATTTCAATGAATGAAGGTCGAACCTTCGCAAACTACCCTTCCCGGCTATCGATAAGGTCGATTCGTTTTCGAGTTGGCTTCTTATGGGCGTGCTAAGTAATAACTATGCTCTCGGAAAACTACATTTTAACCGCGTGTATAAAAGCTCGTTCATCAGAGTTGTACGTAGGTATATGGGTTTTATCATACGCAACGTTATAATAGCGTGTACCTTGTAATTTCGATCGGATGAACATGTGTGTATAAAAAAAATTATCTTACTCCGAATAGTCATACGATAAGTATACACTCGCGTTTTTTGTGTATGTGATTGCTGATTAAGTTATAAATGGTTGTAAGTTGTGTTTTTTTTTTTTTCATTCACAAAAGTATTATTAATGACTCTAAAGAAGCTACTTTGACGGATACTGTGTGAACTTTCAGTAATTTTAAGTAATGTCGCAAAAGTCACAAATTATCTTGACCCAATACTCGTTGGAAACCTCACGAAATCGTTCAAATCATCTGACGAGCTTCAAAAACTCCCAAAGACGTTATCAACTGTTTTCCTCTAATAAAATCTAAAATTCAATTAAAGAAAAAAAAGGAAAAACAATAAAAGTTGACATCAGTCACATCGAACCCTCCAGAATGTTTGGTCGATCAGAAAAGGTTGTACTTAAAATTTCTCGTTTTTAACATCGAAAAATCGGGTCAATTAGATTCCGCTCCCAACGCGGGGTAATATAATATACAGTTACGCATAAATTACCGTTTACGCGTATCCGATAAAATTTTCAGTCAACACGTGGGGGGCCCCGAAGATCCTGTTTGTGGTGCCGA